GACAACTATGGATTGGCAGGGGGATCCAGAGTGGTTGCTGACAAGGAAGAGGAGTCACCAGAGGCAGAGGTGGAGGAAACAGAGGAAGACTCAGTTGCCATTGCGAGAAAGAAGAAAGAAAAACGAAAGAGAAGAGGTGAGGAAAGGGAAAAATTCTCGTTAGAGAGTGCAGGGCTCTGATACCATAAACGAGCACAAAGCTTGAGATTCCTCTTATTGAATGAATGCTTTTAAAGTACATTGAGCTGCAGAAATAGAGGAACTGAAAGTAGTAAAAGAAGGGACTATAACAACCCACTAACAGCTAGTCTAACAACTAACAAACGTGGAGACAAATGTGGAACTGAATACACTTCATCACCTTCCACCAAAATATAGAGAAAACAATGGATTTATGCTAAATCATGAACTTGGACCTAAATCCATATCTCATGAAGCAAACGAACCTAAAGAGTTAATAAAACACAACAAAACGTCAAATAAATGAATTCCTCGTGCCTTCATCAATAGAAAAGGGCTAGAACCTATAATTATTGGCTTGTAAAATTTTGATCTCGGAAGAAACGAATGACTAGACACACATTAGATCACATCACACTGACTAACAACAAGCTCCTTTAACGACCTGAAAGGAGACAACCTTTGGCTCCTATCTTTCTCAAAGAAAGAACTCATCGACGGCGGGCGGGTGCATGGGCGACGAAATGATGAGTGAAGGACTGTTTCGACTCGACTGTGCCTTCCTTCTCTGGCTGGACTTTGGGTCGAGCGACTACGAGACTAGGCACCGGCGGAAGATGCCTGAGGAGTCTGGGTTATGGCTGTAAGTTGGCCCTCCAAATCCATTGGGCCGTGCTAATTTGACCCGGCCCGAAGGGTTGAATTATCCAAGGCTCACTCTTTTCAATCTGTGACCTCCTCGCCCGTTATAATCCGATACTTGTCTTCAGCCGTGACCCAATAAAATGATCGGACACATAATTCATCATCATCCTGCTCACAGCGAATGACTAGACACACATTAGATCACATCACACTGACTAACAACAAGCTCCTTTAACGACCTGAAAGGAGACAACCTTTGGCTCCTATCTTTCTCAAAGAAAGAACTCATCGACGGCGGGCGGGTGCATGGGCGACGAAATGATGAATGAAGGACTGTTTCGACTCGACTGTGCCTTCCTTCTCTGGCTGGACTTTGGGTCGAGCGACTACGAGACTAGGCACCGGCGGAAGATGCCTGAGGAGTCTGGGTTAGGGCCGTAAGTTGGCCCTCCAAATCCATTGGGCCGGGCTAATTTGACCCGGCCCGAAGGGTTGAATTATCCAAGGCTCACTATTTTCAATCTGTGACCTCCTCGCCCGTTATAATCCGATACTTGTCTTCAGCCACGACCCAATAAAATGATCGGACACATAATTCATCATCATCCTGCTCACAGCGACATATAACCATGTTATCATGTTGCTCGCATATGCCATCATTGTGCTCTTTGACTTTGATCATATTGTTTTTGTCCTCTCAAGATCTGGCCCTTCTCATAATGAATTTCTAACTTGGAACCACAATAGAGTGGAGATGAGCCATAGAGTGTATATCAATCTTATATGGAATTACAAAGGAGAAACATCGTGAAGAGAATTGGCTAAATTACACGTTTGGTCACTCATATTACATAAATCTTTCACATTTGCCACCCGAATTACTTTCGTTTCATTTTTCCACTAACTTTACAAATCGTTTCACATTTGGTCATCAACCGTCTGTCTCCGTTAACTCCGTCAGTTTTGTGATGATGTGGCAAACGGAACTGCTGACTAGACCGTTAAACGTGTGATGTGTCAATTTAAAAAATAATAAAATATGTTTGAATCTTTCCACCTCATTATTATCATTAAAACAATAAATATAATCCCGAAAAATCCTAAAATTGGTTTTCCGAAACCAGCCCTGCCTCCTACCATTCCCTCTGTCCGCCCAAGATTCCCCGCCAGCCTTCGAAGCACCATCGACCTCTCCGCCTCTAGCTACTGGAACTTGGAGAAGAATAAGCAAAATACAAAGACTGCAGCGGCCGACCAGCAATTCGTCTCTCCGCTGAGACGAGAAGAGAAGCATTCAAAAACCCAGAAATCTCCAAATATGTTGTAAATCTCCAGATTTTCTTGTTCGTAACTAATTCCCAGCAATAAAATCGAAAGCCCTTCTATCTTCCATTTTTCCCGTCACAAATCAAGAAAACCTTTTTCTATCTCCTGTCTCTGTCCTCTCAATTTGTGACTTCGACAAAGCTTCGTCTGTGGTGGCAAAGAAAAATGGGCAGGGAAGAACTTCACTCTGTCTCTTGGTTTTGGCGCAATGCCCACGCAAGCGAAGATAAGAACAAGCGGAAGGAGAGGAACTTGCCCAGATTTACAACACCGTTATGGATCTGCCTTCGTCTCTCGCTATTGCATCTTCGCCTTCCCTGTCTCTACATCGTCGCAATCACCATCATCCAGCGACAAGCCGCCATCGTCGGCCTGCCCCGTAGGGTCTTACTCCATCATCGTCTGTCGCCTCAGTTCTGCCGCTGCACCATCAAACTTCGCTGCCGGTTGCTCTGTGTGTCTCGAAAGAGAACAAAACCAGGGAAAGTAGAGGAAATCTTCTCCGTCTATCCTCTCTCAAGAAAAATCAGATGAGGTATAATTTAGTTTTTTTATTTTTAATGTTTTAAATTGCTAAATCACACATTTAACAGTCCAATCAGCAGTTCCGTTTGCCACGTCAGCACAAAACTGACAGAGTTAACGGAGATAGACGACTGGTGACCAAACGTGAAACGATTTGTAAAGTTAGTGGCGAATAAGAAAGGAAAGTAATTTGGGTGGCAAAAGTGAAATATTTATGTAATTTGAGTGACCAAACGTGTAATTTAGCCAAGAGAATTTATTTTGCAAAATTATATGTAAATTTTGTCAGAATAGAGATGGAACATGTTCAATAGTGATGAGGGATATCGCGGATTATATGAGAACATATGGGGTGTTGTGACGTTTTCTTTTCTTTCACGACTTTTCCCTCTTCTTTCGTCGATTGTCTTGGTATTCTAAGGTCAAATGAGCGGATGTAATTTGCCACATCAATAACTCCAGGATTTCTTGTTTTGTTATAGATTGATTGAATTAAGAGAATGAGCTATATAAAAAATGTCATTTCGAAATGTTAAGGGCTTGTTTGCTTGATGGATTTGGTGAGAGATTTGGATTCATCATTGAATTTGTCCAGAATCCATTGTTTGCTACATGCATTTAGACCATCCACTATGATTGGGGGGGAATTTGGGTGGGTTGGGGGGGAAATTTGGGTTTTATAGGTTTGAGGGTGGGGAAACCCACAATGGGTTGGGAGGGAAAATAGGGAAATGTGGGAGGGGTGTTTTTTTGATGAATTTGATTTAGTGTTGATTTTGTCACTTTAGTTAAATAATTTGATTGTTCTTTTTATATAGGTAATAGTAATTAATTAAGATGAAAATATCGATTTTATTTTATTTGGACATAAATTTTTCGTCATTAATTAAAATATAGTCGTTTATGGTTGTTGAAAAATACAGTCATTGTAAAATATGTATGTTGGCATTCAATTTTGATCATTAGATCCCACTGAAAGCAATCTACGACTTAAAAAATCCAAACTAAAACGCAAAAAAAAAACTAAAAGTAAAAAGCAACTCTGACACGCGGGCCCCGCCAGTCCACTCTCCCTCCTCTTTTTGTCCTGTTGTGTGGGGAACTCACCCAAAACCACCCAAAAAACCATTTTTCCCCTCTTTTTCAACCCCCACTATAAGCCCCATTTGCAAAAGATCATTCTTTTCCTTCTTCCCACCCCCATAGTGGGTGGTCTTAGGGGCAACAAATTCGTGGATCCCACGAACTTTAAAGTCCCAAATCCATGGTCCCCTCGGACTTGAAAGTTCCACCTATTTAGGTGAGAATTGATCATAGACTTTGAAGTCCATCATTTAAGACGAAACTACCCCTACAATTTCATTTCTCTTCTCATACCAATGAGGGCAATAAAGGTAAATTTCACTTCATACATACAAATCTAATTAACCAATTCGTCATGAAATCTACGAAACAAACAATGGTATTTTTCAAGTCCATGATGAACCTAAAATCCTCATATATCCATGGTTTTACACAACCCAAGTTTTACTAAAACCTTCATTTTTCAAATCCACGAAGCAAACAACCCCTAAGACATTTTGCAAAAGAATTCATTCATACTCTTAAGAAAGTACAACATTATAATCCATTCGATATGGTTGTAAATTTGGTATTGATATTTGGGATATCGTATATCGTATCAAAATTTTTGGGACTTGGTACTTATCAAAATCCGAATAATTTTTTGGGATTAAAGATTGATTTTGAAGTGCATTAGATATTCCATTTTTATATATACATTGAAATAACAAAATTCAAAAATATGAACATAATCTTATATTCATGAGTCACAATTCTATTTGACAAAGTTACTAAACTATATAACACGGTTCACGACTTATGTATTACATAACTCACATGACAAATTTCTTATTGTACATAATTACTAAACTATACCAATATTATTTAATTTTATAACATCATAATACAAAATAATTTAATACCTATAAAAATATTGTCATAACACACATACCAAATTATAAAAAATAAAATCTCAAAGCTACTATATATCATGGAACATCGACTTGGTAAAAAAACTAGTAGAAAAACCTTAGCACAAGTAGCAACGTCTCTCTGGCAGACCACATGCCGGAGCTCACGTGCACTAGGCGGAGAGCGCGCGCTTTCCACCATCATTCTCCCCTAAACGACGCCGCATCGTCTCCTTTCGGACAACGCAGCGAATCCGAGGATTTTACTACAAAACAAAAACATGAAACTAAATAGAAAAAAAAATTATAGAAAAAACTAAATAGAAAAGTACGCAATAATAATATCGTACCGTACGTCGTTTTCTCCAAACTTACAGCCAAAAATTATTCCCCAAGAAAATTTTTTCTCTGAGAACAATCTCTTCCTCGTTAACCTTTCTCTTTCTCACTCGCTATCTACATCACAAAGCTCCCTGCTTCACAACTTTCCCTACATCCACACCACACATCATCACGGCCCACTTCACTGCTCTGTTCAGTCTTCTGACTCTCCCTCTAAAGCTCTGATCTTTTGGGTCTTCCCTTTTTGGGCGTTGGGTCAATGGCTGATTGTGCCTGGCAGCAGCAATGAAGGTCACCACCGGGAAACCGCATTCGTCGGCGACGGCGGCGCTAGTGGGGGCTTCAATCCTGACTTCCAAGGCGTTTAATCAGAGCCCACGTCAGCAAAATCCAGATTCAGATCTCGTCAGGCCGCCACGGCGCAGGACCCGGAGCCTGACCCGGTTGAAGCGGGTCGCCCCTTCTGTCGGGCGGCGGAGCAGACCCGAGACGCCCCTGTTGAAATGGAAGGTCGAGGAGAGCGGAGAGAGGAAAAATGGTGGTGGGGCTAAGGGGGATGGGGAGGATATTGCTGTGGCTGCGGATGAGGGTGAGGAGAAGCAGGGGAATGGTAAAGAGGAGGGTAGGAGAAGGAGGAGCAAGAGAAGCAGTGGGAGTTCTGTTTCTGCCAGGAAGCTAGCGGCTGGGTTGTGGAGGTTGCAGACGCCGGAGACGGCGGTTGGCGGCGGCGGCGTAGGGGAGCGGAGAAGGAGGGATGGGTTGGGATTTCAGGTAAGATTGTAAATGTGATTCCTTCTTTTTTTGCTTTTGTTTCCTTGATTTTTGTGGCGTTATTATGTTGGAGGAATTTTGGAGTGATTTGAGTTTTTGGGCGTATTAAAGCTGGGGAATGATTCGATGAGATTTGGAGTAAATGAGTGCAAATTGTTGAATAATGCATTACGGTTTGTAGCTGTGTTTGTGATTAGCTTAGTTCTCAAGGTTTAGTCATTGACTTCTTTTGTGGTGAAGATTCTTGTGGTGCTCTGATATTGGTGATTCCTATAATTGATTGCTCTCATCTAAAAGGTTGAAGACTTTATGATGCTATCTAAAAGAGCAATTGATTTGTCTCTGTTGTCATTTACTTTTGTGGGTTTCTGTGATGAAAATAGTTCTGCTGATAGGATCCCATTGATTCATTGATTATAATGTACTATGGTCTCCTCGTCAAGCTTTATTACTGAAATGTGTATCCTTTTCCCCTTTCTATTATCTCCTCGTACTGGATCCAGACTGAGCATGCTGGAACTTGTTCAGTAATGCCATTCCGGTTTTTTTTTTTAAGAAACACTGTGTCTGTGTGAAGGTTTTTCTGTTGACCTCGTCTCCAGGAGATCAGGAGTTTTGTGGTTAAGTTTTTGGCGGCTCACAGTCCATTTATTCTCACTCCGTGGATTCCTTCAATGTATTGATACTCTGAGCAGAACCATGTTGGATTGAACGCGTGAATTCTCAAGGTTTTCTGATCTGCTTGTGTTTGTTGTCTCTTTTAGCCCCGGGCTGCTCATGCTGGCGTCTCTTTGGCACCCCATGGGACTGAGAAAGTTTATGGGTCTGAGTTGAAGGATCCATTGCACAGTGCGACTGCCGTATCTGCTATGAAGAACAGGTTCTTGTGTAAGGTATGTCTGTTCTGGAGGTTTCATAACTGAAAAAGTTAAATGTAGTGGTTTTCCCCCAATATTGATAACAGTGAGTCGTGAAGATGGGAAATGTTATCTTCTTGATCTCCTGCTCTCTCAAATGAGCATGGTGTTGGATGATTTTCTTTCAACAGATTGATTTCATGCATCATAGAAGATTATCTGCAGAGAAGTCATGATCATTTGCTTCATTGTTATCCTGGAGTTATGATGGAAAAAATGGCTTGATGGTCAAATGAATTTTCTTTCAGAAATTCCTATTTTATACCACCATGAGATATAAGTTCTTTTCCCTTTACATTTAGGAACACAATGTGAGTTTAATTCACGTGAATATACATGCACAACAAGTTAATCTAAACAGGTTAGTTAAGCAGAAGACACAATATCATCATTACTGGAGACACGTAGGAAGAAAGTATTGTAATAGGATATTAACAAGAACTTAATGCTGTTTAAGGCAATCTTCTTGTATTGTGTGACAACCAAGATTTCACTTCTCACATGTATAATTAATTAACGCTTAAGACTGATATGTCAGAGCTTACCTATCTGAGGAAATTTAAATTTTTGTCTTCAGTTATTACCAATGACCTTGTCTTCTATCTGCCTAACTGTAGCTGTTTTTGGTTCTTCTTTGTTAGCTTGAACCTTCTTTCCAGTTCTCCAACTCTGCAATGGAGGGCAAAACCAAGTGGGATCCAGTATGCTTCGAAACACCGGATGAAGTACGCCAGATCTACAGCCACATGAACCGTCTCGATCAACAAGTTAGCGCTGTATCAGTGGTTTCCGCTCTCGAATCCGAGCTTGAGCAAGCTCGAGTACGCATCCATGAGCTGGAAACCGAACGAAGGTCCTCGAAAAAGAAACTCGAGCACTTCCTAAAGAAAGTTAGCGAGGAAAGAGCTACATGGAGGAGCAGAGAGCATGAGAAAATCCGTGCATTCATCGACGACATCAAGTCAGACCTAAGCCGCGAGAGGAAGAACCGGCAGAGATTGGAGATTTTGAACTCGAAGCTGGTTAACGAGCTGGCTGATGTAAAGGTATCCGGGAAGCGACTGATGCAAGACTATGAAAAGGAAAGAAAGGGTCGGGAATTGATCGAGGAAGTATGCGACGAGCTCGCTAAAGAAATCGGAGATGACAAAGCTGAAATCGAAGCGATAAAGAGGGAGTCGATGAAGCTGCGGGAAGAAGTTGATGATGAGAGGAAGATGCTGCAGATGGCCGAGGTTTGGCGTGAAGAACGTGTTCAAATGAAGCTGGTTGATGCAAAAGTGGCTCTCGAGGAGAAGTATTCTCAGATGAATAAGCTTGTATCAGATTTGGAAAGCTTTTTAAGGTCAAGAGGTGCTGCAATTTCAGAAGTTAGACAAGTGGAATCTCTAATGCAGGCTGCAGCCGCCGCTAATATCGAAGAGGTGAAGGAATTCACGTACGTGCCCTCTAACCCGGACGATATATTCGATGTTCTTGAAGAATATAATTCTGGTGAGCCAAATGACGAGAGAGACATTGAGCAATGCACGACTGCTTTCAGTCCTGGTAGTCATTGCAATGGCTATGTGATTAATCAGAATGAGGAGATAGAAGAGGATGAAAGTGGGTGGGAGACGGTGAGCCATCTCGATGACCAAGGCTCGAGTTTCTCGCCAGATGGAAGTGTTCCATCTGTCAATAAGATTCACAGGGACAGCAATGTGTCAGAGAGCGGTACAGAATGGGAAGAAGAAAACATTTGCAAGGATACCCATATGGCAGAAGAAATCAGTGAGCTTTGTTCTTTGCCGAATAATAGGCAGGTTAAAAAGGCATCAGCAATTGCAAGGCTGTGGAAGTCAGGCAGTAATGGGGAGAACTACAAGATTATCTCAGTTGATGGAATGAATGGTAGGTTCTCTAATGGACGTAAATCAAGTGTAGGGATTGTTGTATCACCAGACAGGGGCTCAGGCAAAGATAGAGGAGGAAGTTTTAGCCCTTCTGATTTTGTGGGTCAATGGAGTTCATCACCCGAGTCGGGGAATCCCCACATAACTAGAGGAATGAAAGGATGTATCGAATGGCCGAGAGGCAGCGTGCAGAAGCACAGTTTGAAGTCGCAGCTATTGGAAGCAAGGATGCAGAGCCAGAAACTACAACTGCGCCATGTACTGAAGCAGAAGATTTAGATGTTAAGGGATGCCCCGCCCACCCCCAAGCCAAAAAAATGCACTTGCTTGATCATGTACCAATTCCTGTAACAGTAAGAGCCTTATCAAGAGATTTATTCCTTTCTGGGGGCGTACGAGCCCTTCTTGTTGTAAATGCTCTAGAGGATAAACATTTAGCTTCATTCGTATCTTGGACTAAGGTTTCTTTTGGTATACAAGTGGGAATTTCGTATTGCTTTCTGGAAAAACTCACTGTTTCGTCACACTGTTTCCTTGAAATGTATTAAAAGAACACGAAGAACATCCAGTTGTGATGAAATCATGACTTCAGACCATTCAGCTACAACAGCTTTCCTTACCGCGAAAATTGAAAGAAATTTGTCCCGAAACAGAGAGCTCCACAGGTGTATATCAGTGGTTCCTTTGGAAATCTGTGTCATTAATATTCTTGGAAGTTGACATGCCCAGTAGCTTGTGCATGCTCCACAGCTTCCTGAACATTGACATTTAAGTAAAGAACAATTGAGTTGACACAAGCTAAGCTCAGAGCCTTAAAGAACAGAAAGAAATTGCATAGGACGGATTACCAAATCGAAGCACTGACCTTTTGACCAATAACACCGATCTGGCATACACCACACCTTAAGGTGAAGTTTGCAGTATCTGTATAGCTTCTCTTCCTGCCAAGTATGGAATGTTCTTGATCAGCAGGATGAAACCCGTCTCGGAAAGAAAGGAAACAGTTCTTCCCTTTATCAAAGTGCAGCAGATATAAGGCACTACCTTTGCTGATCCTTAACAAGATTAAGAGCAAGCCCCTCAACAGGTCCAACGGTCCTGTCCCTGTGGACTAGAAATATGGTCTGATCAAACTCCTCTGGAGCTTCCGCAACTGGTGACATCTGTTTATAAGAAAATCCACGAGAAGCAATCAATAAGGAGCCATGCATTTAAAGTCAGTATCTAGATTTCTAGCTGCTCTGCGAAATCTGAAAATACTCAAATATCATCAGGTGGAAGATGGAAAAGGAGACATACAGCTAAAGCATCATAGTGGAGACCATCATAGATAAGCATCACTCTTTCAGAGTACTTCTTGTCCTGTTAAGAGTAAAACAAAGGAGAGAAAAAAGGTTAAATTTGGTAATTCAGCGGATAACAACTATTTCTTCAAGGCTATTGACACTAGTTACCTGACCATATAAATCACATCGAGTGGTTTGAATGTCATATGCTGCAATTTCCCGTCCATAATAATCGGCCAATATTGCAAGCTCGATGGCACCTTCACGTGAGAAGGAAGATAAGATATTTGAAAAAGTGATGATACTCTTGCTTAGCAGGTAAGGAACAAGTACATGCAAGTTATATTTTCAAATGTTTTTGGTAGAAACAACTAACAATTAGGCATTGGATATGAAGAGGCTGGGCAGAAACTAACCCCTATTCAACCTAATACGCAAACAAGTTATGGTTATAGCCCGTATAGGATATGCATGCAGCAAACCTTGAACTGTCTATAAATGATCTGTGCACCAGTAATCAGAAATTGCTTTTATGTATTGTCACAGAACATGGCTCAATGTACGGTTTCTACAGAATGGAATCAGATGATTAGCATATTACGCAACTTTATAACACTTTCTACGGGTTCTTTTGTTCATGGAGATGGTTGGTTATATACTTCGCCTATTTTGAAATAAGCACATCGTACTCCAGGAAAATTGTAGAGGGCGTAAGCAGGTGTAGGAAACCTATTTTTAGGGTTCTAACAATTGTGTTGGGAAATTGGGAATTGGTAGAGATTTAGGGATTTAGAAGAGAATTAGGGATTAGGAACAGAATTGGGAAAAACCGAAAGAACGGCCGAGGCCTCTAGAGAGGAGGATTGACGAGATTTGAGAGAGAAAGAGATTAGGATTTTGGGAAAGGATGACTTTTCTATTAATTTCTGCTTCCCATGACGAATGACCCAAAGTACATATATATAGGGAAATACTAGAAAACCCTAAGAATAACCCTAATTCTACTAGGAGACTACTAACCATAATAAGAATTATCCTAATAATGATTATAATAATAATATAGAAAAATCGTGTTTCTAACATCTCCTCCCCCTTCAGACCAACCTTGCCCTCAAGGTTGATCAACTCGACCCCCTCTTCTCTTTCTTCTCGCACAATCCGCGGTTGACTCCTCCATTTCTTACGCTTCCTTTTCTTCCAATTGTGCTCCACTACTTGAATGAAGCCGACTCCAGCAACTCTGTCTTCCATGGCTTCTTCTCTATCCACATAGCTCGTGTCGCAATTATGGCCAAATGACCCTTCACCCTCTTTTTCAAACTCCACAAAATAAGAATCGTAGAAGTGTTCTTCCTTGTGCTCTAGCTTGAGGTCTTCAAGGAAATGTTCCCTAAATTCATCCATGGACTTGGTGGTGAAAATAAGTTCTTTTGGGCTCCATTCTTCTCCAAAGTGGTTTGGATTAAGATTACTTGAAAGCCCAATAGCTAATCCTTGAAGCCCATCTTTCTTTTCCTTCATGTTTGGTTCCTGCAAGATAAACCCAACAAGATAGCCCATTAATGGCCCAAATCTTCCTTGGAATCTCGGCCCACTTTCTTTCCTCAAGAGACCAAGCATGGAATAAATTTCTATCCCACTCTTAAGCTCATTCGGCTGGCCCATTTCAACTCGGCCCAAAGAGGAAATTTGATACTTTAGTTGTGCTCTGTGGCCCAAATATTTCGGCCCAACCGTCCAATCCTCCTTAATTGCTGCTAGCCCATGTCTCTGCTCCCCTTCCAAAGCACATGAGCCCGCTCCGCTTGGCCCATCAGCATAGAAGACCCGAACAGCTTGGCCCAATCTCTCACGCACTGCGGCCCTAGGGTTAGCAAGAGAAGAAACGCGGCCGCCGCCCTCCATCTTCCTCATCCCGACCGTCGGTGACTTCTTCTCCGACGGCGCGCAATCAATCCGGCGGCGAGGCTGCTGCCGCGCGTCTGGCTCCGTCCTCCGACTCCTCTCCCTGCTGATCGACGACACGAGGAGAGCAGACGTCGAATCCTTCTCCGCCAACTCCCTCTTCACCTCGCTCTCCGGCGGCGAGAAGTTCGTCGAGCGGCGGGGAGTTGATCCCGAGGCCACGTTGCTCATCTTCCCCAGCACTCCTCGTCCCCTCCTTGACAGCTCATTCTCCGTCGTCTCTTCCGCCGGCCAAGGACGAGCCCCCAGGTGAGTGGCAGGCGATGGCGGAGCCGCCCCGCTCGACATCCGCGCCGACTTTCTGTCCTTGTCGATCGGTGGCGCGACGTCAGCCGCCCTCACTCGCTGCTTCCCTGTCAAAATTTGCAGCTTCGGTGACAGACCCCGACTCCCCGAAGATGATTCCATCGATGGCGATCGCTTCCAACGTCGTTCGCGGTTGACGCGGACCTTCCTCTTCTCCTCGGATGCGGCCACGTCCTTCTCCGACCTGCACGTCTCCGCCGCAATCCCCGTCGTCCTCTTCTGTTGCTCCCAAACAGGGTTCGATTTGCTCCCTTCAACGGTGGTTTCCACCCCTTCGCCGGCCTCTTGCTTCCTCCTCCTAAACTTCCAATCCACCCTGCCTTTCTTTATCAGCGACCCACAAATTGGGAATTCAGGGCCTTTGGAATATACCTGCGATCTCTCGTCCACTTTCAGACCCAATCCAACCTTCTCAGCATCTGGTTCTTCCGACCCGATCGTGGAAATCGTGATCTTTGAAGCTTCGCCTTGGTCGGTAGGTTGGGCACGAACGGTGGTGGTTCCCACCGCTGCTGGTGGTGGTTTGGTTGCTGCGGCAGCAGCCTCTTCTCCGAGGATAGAAGCCATAGCCAGCTTCGGTTCTCGCGACTCCGGCGCTGCGACGGTGGTGATGGTGCCTTTGATGGCGGCATGATCTTCTTCCTGCGCGAGCGGTAGATCCTCGGGGATCCAACGACGTCCGATGCGGCGGGCCCGTTCCCGTAGTTCCGCCCATGCCAGCTCCGAGAGCCTTGAAGAGCTCATCGTCGAACCAGTTGTAGAACTTGTCCCCGGTTGAGAGTTGTGAAAAACTCAATTCTCGAAACCGGGCTCTGATACCAGATGTAGGAAACCTATTTTTAGGGTTCTAACAATTGTGTTGGGAAATTGGGAATTGGTAGAGATTTAGGGATTTAGAAGAGAATTAGGGATTAGGAACAGAATTGGGAAAAACCGAAAGAACGGCCGAGGCCTCTAGAGAGGAGGATTGACAAGATTTGAGAGAGAAAGAGATTAGGATTTTGGGAAAGGATGACTTTTCTATTAATTTCTGCTTCCCATGACGAATGACCCAAAGTACATATATATAGGGAAATACTAGAAAACCCTAAGAATAACCCTAATTCTACTAGGAGACTACTAACCATAATAAGAATTATCCTAATAATGATTATAATAATAATATAGAAAAATCGTGTTTCTAACAACAGGACTGGTAAATGAAAGAGCTGATGAGGTATCCTCTCAATCAGCCTAAAGGAAACAAGCAAACATACCTCCCCACTTCTCCGGATCAAGAATCCATCCACAATATTCTTGATTCGGCTTTCCAAGGAATGCTTCATTGTACTTAACTGGATCACTTGCCACTGTTGCAGCTATAACCTTCAAGAGAATTGCAATCAAACAGAAGATCAGTATACCAATACTTTGAAAGGTATAAAAGACCAAACAAAAATATTTGAAGTCATTGAAGCAAAGGCAAGGAGTCCATCTATGGTTAGCCAGTCAATAGCACAATGCCAACCAATTGATTCATGCAATATCATTGTTGATTCATTGTCACATCTAACATCCGAAAACATAGGAACTAAAAATGCTTGAATCCCTCTAGTAGTCTCATGCCATTGTGTAAGCCATTCAATGTAAAGAACTTAAATTGGGCATGGTTGAATTCTCAACAGTTTTTTGATTAACATTCATTTCATATCAGCTCATCAAGTATTCATGCACACAGAGAAAAGTAATTTAAACCGAGATGCTAGTGTACCTAGGAGCTTTATCCTGCATGGTTCAGTTTGGTATATACATATTTGATTAACATTCATTACATATCATCAGTAATCAAGCCGATTGATAAATACATGTAGAAACCTTCTTACATGCATACACCATCACGAGGTAGTTTATGCCAACTCAAAACCAACAAACACTACTGTTTTATTCAAGTGAACATTCAAAGAAACAAATGAAGTGAAAAACGGAACACCGGAACAAAGCATGCATAAAGCAAAAGAGATTAGATGAGAACCTATCTAAGCTCAGGAGCTTTATTTTTGTTATGGTCCATAACATATCTGCATGTGAAATTTTGTTCAAAAAGGATGAGAATTCCAACACGACAAACTAAGAATAGGATCCAATGTATGAGACAAACATATCGACCAGAAGAACTGTACCCAACGGCATTGAAGAGGCAAGAATTGTCCGACGGAATGACCCTTCTCACAACGGTTCCGTCCATTACCTAGCTAGCTACAATCTCTGCAAAATGCATGAACCACTTAGAAATAAAAAGAGGTTGCTTTATAAAACTAGGGAGTCGAAGTATCAAGAAACTCATGCCAATAGATTTGCAATTCAAATGGAGGCAGTAGGCTGAAAAGAGAAGGAAAAAAAAAAACAGAACATGCTCAGAACTTTGCTTGCTGTAAAGTAAAGAAAGTTCAAAGCTTTTGGAGAATCCAGCCTCGGAAAATTGAACAATTCAAGAAGAGAAGAGAAAGATTGCGTGACAATAGCTAGAAAGATAAATAGCTCGAATGGTGAAACGGCCGACAGCATGGCAATGGCATGGGAAACAACATAGAAAAGAATACAAATTTACATTTCCACCACCCATGACATTCAAACCGACAGCACTATAGTTAACATGACACGAAAAGAAGAACTAAGCAAGAGTTCCAGAGAAGCACAAGCAAAAGGAGAAGCAAATTCAAGGTAAAGGCGACCAAACCCAGAAGCCTTTATAACAAGCAGAATCAAATGGCTAAAATATGCAGATCTATTCACCAGAAAAAGGACCCAGATAGCGAAAACCAGAGATTGATGGAGCAATCGAGAGAGACCCACCAGAGGCAGAGAGGGAGGCAGGGGGGCGGATGACTTGTTGGTTGCTCTTGCTTGACGAACGAAGTATTGCATGAGATATATCTATTTCGGCTCTTGGGTGTCTTGAGTTGGTGTGCCGAATGTTTGAAATCCAAAATCCTTTTAGAAAGTTGCCAAATTCGGATGCCGCTGTCGCGTTTCATTTTCATTTTCTTTCTTACGGTATGTTCTTTGGTTCCAAAAACAATTAAGGGTCAAAATCATATTTCATTTCAAAGAAGTCTTTCCTATGGTTGTTTAATTGTTTTGTTGGTTAATTATTGTCATTATCTTATGCACCACTTATAACAATTTTGGTTCATATGGTAGTAAATTTTTGTCGAGTTAAAAGTGAAAGAAATTAGACAATGTTAAACGTGAAAAATCGATGATAAATAAAATCGGCAATAATAATTTTTATTTATCAGTAGTTTACCAGCTGATGGAAGCTAGATCCTGCTATTAAGTAATGTCAGGAAACCCTTTGTTCAAGTTCCAGCTAATGACGAGAATTACTCTCGCCCAAAATATTGGGAGATGACTTGGCATGCAAACCATACATTCCAAGGTCTGCAAGGATCGCTACAAGGATCTTGTTCTCAGATTCAACAATGAGTTATCTTCATATGAACAAGTGGCTTTCCAGAAAGAGATACGAAAGGGTAATACATAATAACCTGGTAAATGCCACATTTGGTCACTGAGATTACTAAATCGTGTCATGTTTAGTCACTAGAAAAATTTAATATCAATTTTGGTCACTCGAATTACTGAAACAAGTCACGTTTAGTACGGAAACTAACGGGAGAGTGACTAAATGTGACCTGTTTCAATAATTCGAGTGACTAAATGTGATACGTTTCAGTAATTCGAGTGACAGGAGTTGGACGGAGGCTAACGGGAGAGTGACTAAATGTGACCTGTTTCAATAATTCGAGTGACCTAAATTAATATCAAATTTTTTTAGTGACTAAACATGACACGATTTAGTAATCTCAGTGACCAAATGTGGCATTTACCCCATAATAACCATATGTTAAGATGGAACCCAGTCAGACTAGTATGCGTTCTTCAATCGTAAGAGAAAGTTCGGCAAAATAGCTACACAAGGAACGGATTAAATTGTCAGATCCCATTTCAAACACCAAAAACATGAACGCTGCAGATACCAAGCGTTATTACTTATTTCCATCACAGATTCAACTCTCACTGGGTGCATTACCATAAAATTCTTACAGGGAGGTCACCCTCTCTATTGAATTGCTACACGAAGGATATCGGCGAGCAGAGTACTGCCACCAACTTACAAACTGGACAACAGTTGTGGACACACATATTCAAGAGGCTTACAACTGAAAATGCCTAATGATCAATTTTTCATCTTATCGAGATCCCTTCCCATGCTTGCTTATTACTAACCTCGGTTTCCAAGACTACATTCAGGTTTGTTTTACCTAGACAGGTTGAGCTTCGATCTTCTGAGGAAGTTCAGCAATGCACTCGATTTCAATCCTGGCATTCAACGGCAATGCTGCTACCTGATACGTTGATCGAGCTGGGAATGGAGCAGGGAAATCTGTAAACAGAAAGAGCAAATGGTCAGAAACATTTTCCCAACAATATGATATTTTTCCCCTTCTAAGTTTCCATTTAAGTTGTTGAAGGGTTTCTATAAGTCAAAGGATGCATGCTTCATATGAGATGCCAATCCAAGTTCCATGCCAAAGAAACAGAAACATATAACAGAAATAATGGACCTATTATCCAATATAGTGGGGTAAGGTGTTCCTACAGCAGGTATAGTGCTATTAACTACATAAGCAGTCACAAGGGCATCGTATGAAGTGCATGGAAATATATTTGTATCGGCTACAGCACAAGCGCGTCCTACATTACTCCATACTTACATTTTGCATAGATCTCATTCACTTTCTTGAAGTCGGCCAAGTCAGCCAACCTGCCACGAACCCAAAGAACAAAAATACAGTAAAAAGCAAGAACTGAAAGAGAAGAAATGCCATCCACATCTGAATTGTGGGAGATTCAAACACATGTACGGGCAAACCAAAACAAAAGACAGAGGAAAAGTTTACATGATGGTTGTCTTGACTACCGAGGAATAGTCTCCGCCACTAGCTTTCAGAATTTCTCCCATGTTCTTGAGGACCTGGTAATGTCAGCCAGTGAAAGAATCAAACAACATAAGGCAACCACAAACATCCAACGTGGTACGTAGAACCAATTCTACAGCAAAAGGAGAGGCATCATTACCTGCTCCGTCTGATCCTCAACATTCTCGGAGACGAATTTCCCAGTCTAAAGATAAGACGAAAACTGAATTAGAAGGCGGGAACCAAATAGCAGAGGAAATGTAACGGACTAATAATATCAGTATAAGCATTTCCAGGAAGTAAGGAATAGGAGAAGAATTCAAGCAATAAGTGAGGATAACATTGAAATGATACCTCTGGAATGAGACCCAAAACCCTAGAGACAAACACAAGGTTGTTGACTTTGATAGCTTGAGAATAAGGGCCAAGAGCGGCCGGCGCCTTTTCAGTCTTGACAGCCTCTTTTTTGGCTGCAACAATGGGAAAACAAAACTGTTACAATCTCAAGCGACTGTGATATGAACCATAAGCAGCAGACACTGAAAGGGAGACACTTGGATAGTAAAATCAATCAAGAAAATAATTAAACTAAAAGGGGAGAGATCGTTTTCGTCACTCGTCAACAACAAACAAGAAGCGGGAAGAGAGCACGGGATTAAAAGATAGGGTTCAGTTTAGTCGTGTTATGCCATTGGACGATCAATTAACGCGAAACCCTACATGGAGAGAGAGATTTACATACAGGGGAGAGTGAAGGTGGACATGGAAGCGAAAGGAGAGGAAGCGAGGCGGGAAGAGCGGCAGAGGGTGGTAGTGGAGCCGACGAAGACACCGCCGGCGGCGAATTGGGGACGACGGAGAGGGAGGTTGAGGAGTGCCGGGATTTGGAATGGCTTGAAAGCGATCGTCCAACTCGACATTTTCGTCGGTCTAGCTCCTCCCTCTGGTTTATTTCCTCTTTCTCTCTCCCAGCAGATTTTCCGTTGGAGTAACTGAAGAAGAATTTGCAGCGAGCGACGAAAGCTAGAGCAGCAGCACTCCGACGTTTGGATTCAAAGTCTGCATTTTTCTTATTAATTAATCATTAATGTTGGGCTTTTTTTGGGCCCGATTACGAGCTTTGTCGTTTTGGTTGTAGTTGGTGACTGTGAGAGAGAAGAGGGAGAGAAGGAGAAGGTAGTTGGCCCTGGCACGCTAAATAGTTTTTCACACGTGCTGCTATGTCTGTCACTCGGAAAGTTTGGGCCGTCCTGGATTGGTCTTTATACAGCCCATGGATCTGTTCCAGGCAAGCCTCTCGACTATGGTGCCGCACTAAAAAAGTGCGGCACTGGTGACGCCGTTTATGATTGGGCCACGTGGCGCTGATGTGGCAGAGATTGGTTTAATTAGTTCGAGCCATGACCCATAAAAATTTGGAATTGTTCAAACCGAAGCCCTAGCCAAAGATGGGAGTTCCACCTGCCGTTACCTTTGGTTTTTTTAGTAATTAATTTGAAATTGATTTAAGTTTTATATGCATTTAGTTTCATTGTGAAAAAAAAAAACGAAGGAAAAACGATTGGTGGCCGTCTTCCTCGTTCTCTCGCTCGTTAGAATCGGAAAAGAGCCAACTGCTCTGCTGAGCTCCAACGTCGCCATCCAAACTTCACACCCTCCACCAAATTCAGCAGCCGTATTCCTCGTCCATTAATCCAATTAGTTTGGGTTTCCAAGATTGAAAAAAATCAACAACAGGGGACGACGCCGAGGGCCGAGCCAAAAGGGAATCCTCGATCTCCTTCGCCGGCGTGCTCCTAAAGCAGTCCGCTTCTTTCTCCAATTGGTTAGAACATTGTAAGGTGAGCAGCATCGCGAGTTTCAGCTTGGGGGTTATCAAATTGGAATTTTTTAATATTCATTGCTTGTGTTCGTTAATTCTACTTACCAGAATGTATCTTTTAATAGGGTTGTTAAAAAGTATGAACTTGCTGGAGGCTCCTTCTTGATATATGCAGTAACTTTGTTGAAATTGTTTTCCTGGGAATGTTTGAATCTGTTGGTTGTTATTTCAAGGGCTACTGAACTGGAAATCACGAAATTTCTTGTTTAGTGAATTGTTTTCTGTTGAGTGCTGATTGATTACGTAGGGAGAAGAGAAGAACTTCTGAGAGCATACATTCTCTTGATGTTCATCAGTCTAGAAAGCACACCTGTCTGTTAAGATATGAATACTCCCATGTAACATAATCAATATGGCGGTAGTGAATAGATAGTGCCAGTAAGCTTATGATTGGAGGCCAAAAAGGCTAATGCTTCTTCTGCATTGAGATATTAGAGTCATATTGTTAGTTGTCTGCCTTCCTTGGAGATATGTCATTTCATGCTTAATATGCCAGCTTCTAATCGATAACTTAGTTTGGTCTAGTGAGACATTTTTGGAGCTCCTGAAGCTTTATAGTTAGGGAAGAACAACACTGTCCGAGGAATTTCTACATTCTAGTATCCTACACATGTAATGTTCCCATCTTTGATAAATAATTAGGGTGTTAGAGGTGCTTCCAGGATTTTGGTATTTGTGTAGTATGTAATATAGGAATTTCTCTTTCATTGATTAGTCGAAGGTGTGCCCTTGTTGTTATCCGTTTTGCTTGTATCCCTCATTGTTCTGTCTTGTAGGCTGGAGGTTCTTCAAGAACTATATTTTAATGGGATTTAGTATACCAACAGCAACCCATTATCCTCTCAGGAACTGGTAGTGATACTGTAGCTCACTCATGGGACTTAAGAAAACCAGTTTCATATGGATATCATCCATTGAAACCAGCAGCGGCAACAACAACCAAGGGAAATAGCAGCTTCAACAAAAGCAGAGGGAAGACAACAGTAGAAGCATGACAACAGTAAAAGGCGAATTCTTGAACTCTCCCACGCGCAAAGGAAAACAACACTGTCATTTGTTGAACGGAGTGGTTGTTTGTTGGATCAATGAGTTTATGTTAGTTAACATTTTGGGTTTAGCTGCTGTGTTGTAGGAAAACCAGATTAAGCCTTACTATCTTATCTCTGTAATGGCCTACATATTGTGATGAATGTAAAAGAGGACGAGCTAGGTTTTGAGCTCTCTTTGTTCTGCAGTTATCAAGGAAGGCTTGTTGCGGGGATGTGTGTCTTAGAGACTTCACTCCTATGCAATTCAATGCCACTGGGTACCAATGTTAAAGAGTACATGTTATGGGATGGATTCCACCTTTCTGAAGCTGCTAATAAGATCCTAGCTCAATCCCTGCTTTCCCAAGTATTGTCGCTCATATCTTAAACTCCATAGTTCCATCAACGCTACAAACACAAGCTTCATAAAACAAATAAACAATTCTTTATTCCCTTGTCAATAAATGTGCACCATCCACATCTAATATATTAAATTCAATAGAATGTCCTCTAGGTCTCAATTTGTTGCAATACTATCTTCACCTTTTGGAGGTCATTCTACCAACTTCTCAATGCATCAGAAGCTGAAACTTGCCATCGTCAGTTACAACAACAAAATCGTATCCAAGATCATTGGCGCGGAGGTACAACTCATCCATCTCTCTCTGCTGGACTTGGATTCTCACCAGCGTGTTAGCTGCAGTCCCTCCCTGTAAATTTAGTAAAAACTATTTACATCAGACTGAATAGAGTAACATAAATCTAAGAAAGAAGGAAAGCTCTTTGAGAATAAAGAAACCTTACATCTATTGTGGAACAAGGTAATGTTCCATTGGGAATTGGATGCATCAAGAAGCTTGATTGGAGTGATGGGCCTTTCTGAGAAGACGAATTGACAGAGAACCTTATCTCGAACAGAGGATCTGCCGCCAATCTGTAAACAACAAAGCAAAAAGTTCAGTTGCAAAACCAAAGCAACATAGGCTTCTGACGGAGTAATAAGTTCAGCTGCTGCTTGCTCAGACATTCACAACTCCTAAGCGAAGCCAAATATGTATGTAAACCTACGAACTTACCGACCTATAATTAGCTGAGCGAGGATCCTGATCTAGATGGTGCTACAAATATAATAAGTCCTGCACATCCATATAGTACTCAAGGTTGACAGCTGCAAATAAAAAAACAAAAGTGGGTTGCCATGTATTTTGTTCTTCCAAAATGCTTTATAGGTAACAGATGGTAGATAACCAAAGTATGGGACTACCTAGCTTTCCATAGTTCTCAACTACATTGATCTTGCACAATACATTGATGTATGAAAGTTCCTGTGGAAGCATTGTTGAAAATGACATTAACAATCAACTAATATAATTAGCAACATCACTACAGATGAGTTGAACTCTCGATCATAACATAAGGGGAAAGGAGGCATTCCCAGCCTGTTATGAAATTTGAAAATGGTTTTCTTGTTTAGTGGCTTTACTCTCATTGCATGATACGATAGAATCGTTGAACTCATATACATATACATTGACAAGGAAGAGCTAATCTCTTAGCACATTACAGTTGAAAAAATATACAGTTGGTTTTGGCCAAAATTAAGTTATTTCTACAATGTCAATAGATACTGCCCTGATAACAACATTTCATACTCTTCAATTTTTATCCATCAGCCTATAGGTCGCAGCAAGTATCAGAAAACTTACAAAAGACTAGGAAGAAATAAACGATTAGAGGAGCAGCGATTGATTTCATTTATATGGCAAAAAGAAAATGGTGAAATTGGAGATTACTCTTCTAGGCAACACCCACCAGCAGCCACCTCTTTTTCGCTACATGGGAAGACTAACAGAAGGTGACTATCTTATTCTCGGATTTGGGATACCTTGATGGCGACAAAGATCGATGGAGACAAAGGCCCACGAAGACATCAGATTCCTTCGCCTCTGGAGATTGGGTCGACGACGGACAAGTTGCCCGAATTGGTTTATAGAGGCCGGAGAGGGAGCCAAAAGAATTTTTTTTCTTTTGGTGAGAAGAGCCAAAAAAATTACTTTAATGAAAAGCAAATACAGAATAAAAGGGATGGAGATTTGCATTCCGTTAGTTTGGGAGAGGTCGGTTGGACCAGTTCTAATGGGCCACCAGACTGTGGACCAATGTTCATTAGCCAACCCAGACCGCCACATCAGCCACGTGGTCCAATAAAAAATGGCGTCACCGGTGCCACACTTTTTAGCGCGACACCGTAGTATTGGCCCTCGACTCAATATCCCTGGAATGATTTCATTTGACGAAGCCCCGATGGTGTCAGTGTTCAAGTTTTATTTTTATAATAATAGCGGTAAGGTATTGTATGTTAAAATCGTGATTTAATAATTATTGTTCAACTGTATTATATCGCTAAATACCACCTACCGATTTTGTTTCAGGTGGGAGATTTTTTAGGTCGAGCCACCGGTATGATACGGTATTTTAATCCATGGTTTTAGTATGAAATCTTTTTATTCATTTACTTTACGGATTCATTTCACATTTGCCTCTAATTATGGGGGTCGTTTGGAGATTTGTTCATGAATTCATTGAATTATAGATTCTAGAGTAATTTTTTTTCACTGCTTTGTGATGCTTAATTAGGATTTTCCATTTTTTAAGTATATGGACGACAATATACCAACAAGGGATGCACTTAAAATGACATATCGTTTTTCAGCAGAACAAGACCTAGTTCTAGCTCACCTTAGTTCGTTGACAAATAAGTATGTCACAAACAAGCAAGTATCTAAATGAGTTTTTTTTTCTTTTCACTAGTCTACCTATAATCATCTTCCATATTATAAACCAAATGAGAAATCATCATAAATTTTATCAGTTTTTACCACTAATTCATACTAGTATTTTTATAAAATACTAGCTCGACTCGTTTGTACCAGCCGACATATATAAGAGTGGTTTTGACAACCATAAAAAAAAGATCAATGTTAGATATGCTAATTTGGTTGTTCCTTTTCAAGTGGTTGTAAGCTGGTACTCTGTTTCAAATGACTTCAACTAAACAACACCCTTAGCTGGTTTCCATTTTTTGCCATCGCTTTCCAGGTTTGTGAATGGAAGGAAGATTACAAGCTGACATGAAAACTCTCCATC